AAGATACTCTTGGAAAAATTGATTCATCAACCAAAGAAAATCTTAAGTCCAAAAAATCCCTAATACAAAACATCCAGGAAATATGGGACACCATGAAAAGACCAAACCTAAGAATAATAGGTATAGAAGAAGGAGAAGAAAACCACCTCAAAGGGGCAGAAAATATAGTCAACAAAATCATAGAAGAAGACTTTCCCAATCTAAAGAAAGACATGCCAATGAAGGTACAAGAAGCTTACAGAACACCAAATAGAGTGGATCAAAAAAAAAGTCCCCTCACCACATAATAATCAAGACCCCAAATATACAGAATAAAGAAAGAATATTAAGAGCAGCTAAGCAAAAAGGTCAAGTAATATGTAAAAGCAAACCTATCAGAATTACACCTGACTTCTCCATGGAAACTCTGAAAGACAGAAGGTCCTGGATAGATATTTTACCAAAACTAAGAGACCATGGATGCCAGCCCAGAATAGTATATCCAGCAAAGGTCTCAATTACTATAGATGGAGAAAACAAGATATTCCATGAAAAAACTAGATTCAAGCAATACATATCCACTAACCCAAGGCAGTTAAATACAGCCAGAAAAAATATAGGCATTAGATAATCCCACCTTACCAACAGCCAAAAGAAAAAAGGGGGTGGAATTCCACACATAATTACACCAACAACAATTATTGCAAAGCAAAGAAGAATGAGCAATCAATGGTCATTAATATCCCTCAACATTAATAGCTTTAATTCACCCATAAAAAGACACAGGCTAACAGAATGGATCCAAAAACAGAACCCATCCTTCTGCTGCATACAAGAAACACACCTCAGCTTCAAAACAGACATTACCTCAGAGTTAAGTGTTGGGAAAAGATTTTCCAATCAAATGGACCCAAGAAACAAACAGAGGTAGCAATCTTAATATCTAACAAATTAGACTTTAATATAAAATCAATCAAAAGAGATGAAAGAGGACATTACGTACACATCACAGGAGAAATCTACCAAGATGAAGTCGCAATTCTGAACATCTATGCCCCAAATACAAAGGCATCCACGTTAGTAAAATAAACATTACTAAAACTCAGATCACATATAAATCCCCACACATTTATAATGGGAGACTTCAACACCCCACTCTCACCACTAGATAGGAATACCAGACAGAAACTTAACAAAGAAGAAAAGAGTCTAATAGAAGTTATGACCCAATTGGGATTAACAGATATCTATAGAACATTCCATCCACATAAAAAAATACCTTCTTCTCACCACCACATGGAACCTTCTCAAAAATCGACCACATACTTGGCAACATAGCAAAACTCAGCAGGTACAAAAAATTGGAATAACTCCATGCATCCTACCAGACCACCGTGCTTTAAAATTAGAATTCAACAACAACACAAATTGCAGAAAACCTACAAACTCATGGAAATTGAATAATGCACAATTACACCATTCCTAGGTCAAAGAAGGAATAAAAAAGAAATTAAAGACTTCCTAGAATTCAATGAGAATGAAGACACAACATACCCAAACCTATGGGACACTTTGAAAGCAGTGCTAAGGGGAAAGTTCATATCATTAAGTGCCCACATGAAGATACTGGATACTGAAGAATAGTTATACTAGAGAATTAACACAGCTGAAAGCTCTAGAACACAAAGAAGAAAACTCACCCAGGAGGAGTAGATGTCAGGAAATAATCAAACCAAGAGCTGAAATCAATAAAGTAGAAACTAGGAAAACAACACAAAGAATTAATGCAACAAAGAGTTGGATCTTTGAGAAAATCAACAAGATAGACAAACCTTTGTCCAAACTTACCAAATGGCAGAGTGTGAACATGCAAATTAACAAAATCAGAAAAGAAAAGGGGGATATAACAACAGACTCTGAGGAAATTCAGAGAATCATTAGATCATAGTACATGAAAACGTATACTCCACAAAATTTAAAAATTTAAAGGAAATGGATGATTTTCTGGGTAGATATCACTTGCCAAAATTAAATCAAGAACAGATAAGCAGATTAAATAGACCTGTAACCTCTATGGAAATAGAAGCAGTCATAAAAAGTCTCCCAACAACAACAAAAACAAAAAAGCCCAGGTCAAGATGGCCCCGGTGCAGAATTCTACCAGAAATACAAAGAGCATCTTATACCAATTCTTCTCAAAGTATTCCATGCAATAGAAGCAGAAGGATCTTTGCCAAACTCTTGCTACAAGGCTTCAATAACCTTTATACCCAAGCCACACAAAGACACAATTAAGAAAGAGAACTTCAAACCAATATCCCTCATGAACATTGATGCAAAAAAACTCAATAAAATACTGGCACGGACAGTGAGATCAACAATTAATAAATGGTACCTCCTGAAACTGAGAAGTTTCTGTAAGGCAAAGGACACAATCAGCAAGACAAAAGGGCAGCCCACAGAATGGGAAAAGATATTCACTAACCCCACATCTGACAGAGGGATGATCTCCAAAATTTACAAAGAACTCAAGAAGCAAGTCTCCAAAACACCAAATTATCCAATTAAAAAATGGGCTACAGAACTAAATAGAAAATTCTCAATAGAGGAGTCTAAAATGGCTGAGAGGCACTTGAGAAAGTGCTCAATCTCCTTAGCCATCCTGGAAATGCAAATCAAAACAACTCTGAGATACAATCTTACTCCTGTCAGAATGGCTAAAATCAAAAACACCAATGACAGTTTATGCTGGAGATGTTGTGGTGAAAGGGGAACATTCCTCCACTGCTGGTAGGGGTCCCAACTCGTATACCCACTTTGTAAATCAGTATGGAGATTCCTCAGAAAAATGGGAATAAGCCTACCACAAGACCCAGCAACTCCACTCTTAGGCATATATCCAAAAGATGCCCATTCATACAACAAGGACTTCTGTTCCACTATGTTCATAGCAGCATTATTTTTAATAGCCAGGACTTGGAAGCAACTTAGATGCCCCTCAATCGAAGAGTGGATAGAAAAAAAATGTGGTACATTTACACAATGGAATACTATTCAGTAGAAAAAAACAATGGTATCCTGAAATTTGCAGGCAAATGAATGGCACTAGACGAAACCATCCTGAGTGAGGTAACCCTGTCACAAAAATGAGAAACACAGCATGTACTCTCATATATGGATTTTAGACATAGATCTGGGGAGTGCCAGCCTACAATCCCATGGCCAGAGAGTCTGGGAAACAGAACCTTCATTCAGTGGCTGATGGAAGCAGAGGCAGACTCCCACAGCTAAACACTGAGCTGAACTCAAGGAATCCAGTGACAGAGAGGGAGGACTGATGAGCAAAGGGGTTAAGACTGGGCTGGTTTAACATCCAGAAACAGCTGACCTGACAAGGGTTAGCTCTTTAATTCCAGACTGATTGCTGGGAATCCAGCATGGAACTGATCAAGAACCCCCTGAACGTGGGTGTCAGTGAGGAGGCCTAGCTAATCTATTGAGTCTTGGGCAGTAGATCAGTATTTATCCTGAGTACACAAATGGATTTTGGTTGCCCATCCAACAATGAGAGATGCACTCTCACACTGGACTCTTGAGGGAGAGTCTAGGTCCTGCCCTGGATGAAATGACAGACTATGGACACTCCCCATGGAGGGCCTCACCCTCCCTGGGGAAATGAGGGGATATTGGAGGGGTTGGTGGGAGGACATGGGAGGTGGGGAGGGAAAGGGAGAGGGACCTGGAATTGACATGTGAAGCAACCTTGTTTCTAATTTAAATTTAAAAATTAAAAAAGAAGCATACAAGCCATTTTCTTTTCTATTATATTTAAGTTATTAATGCTATTGGTGACACAACAGAAAAAAAGCCTGTCTCTGTTTTTAATTAAAAACATGAATAACTGCTTAATTATTGGTAACAATATGAAGAAACTCAAAAACTAATAGAGATTTTTTTCAATACAATTATCACTAGACAACTAGCTGCTTTTCCTTTATGGAAGCATTCAAGATCACAAGTCATATGAGGTATCATGTATTCTGTTGACAACAAAGTTTCGGCTTCAACAAATATTCTGAACTCTTCACAGATTTGATCTGTCTTCTTTAAAGATAAGAGACTTACAGGGCATGAGGCATGCCTTGAATTTTAGTATTCCAGAGACAGAAGCAGAAGCAGGAGGAGTTCAAGGCCAGACTAGTCTACATAGTGAGACCCTGGAGATAGATAGGTAGGTAGGTAGGTAGATAGATAGATAGATAGATAGATAGATAGATAGATAGATAGATAGATAGATGATAGATTAGATGCAGGTAACCGAGATTTATCTGCCTTCAGGAGAGTTCTGAATGGTGTCCAAACAAGGCCAATGAAACAAAGTTTGACTCTACTGTCTATTCCTTTATTATTGTAAATTGCAACATTTTTTCAAATATTGCAGACTAGTCATGTCCCATGCCTTGAAGCTTGTTTTACTAGGAATCCAAATACACTATGATAAAAGAGACATCACATGATGGAAATCAGCTAAGAGTAAGACTCTGCCTAGCTGGAGTGAGAGGGCAGGGAAGAGAAGGAGGAATGATGGTAGGTATGGAGGTTAGAGCTATCATCCTGACAACCTGGAATCGCCTAGGGAACACGGTTCCAGACATACCTGTGTGAGATTGTTTAGCTGTTTAGCTTCTGGGTGTGTCTGGGAGGTGTTACTTTAATGAAGTTAATTTAATTTAAGTAGACATCAGCACTCCCTGGGTTTGGATCCTGAACCACGTAGAAAGGAGGAAGAAAGCTGATCACAGACATTCATTGCTCTCTTAACTGTGCTTGCCATGTGATCAGCTGTTTCCAGTGCCCACCACCATGCCCTCCCTACCAGGATGTAGTCTGTCCTTGAACTGTGAGACAAACTTAACCCTCCCTCTCTCTCTGAGGTTGCTTTTGTCAGGTTAACTTTACCACAGCAACAGGAAAAGAAACCAAGAAAGGAGCAAATGGCAAACACTAAAGAGCACTCTCACCTCCTTGGAAGTTGCCCTTCTCAAGAACACAGGAGTTTTCCACGTGCAGAACAAAGGTAATGAAGATTGCAAAGCAACACGGGAAAGCAGATGGTGAGATAATATACATTTTTACAAAAAGGGAAGATATCATGGTTGACAGTTGATCAAATCCTGTAAAGAAACAAATCTCAATATGGTAGCAAAGACAGCAACATAAAGACTTCTGCAGCCAGCGACATCTCCCCGGTGTCCCCACTATTTCACTTCCCATACACGACCCAGGGCATTCACAGTTAACTTCCTTTGCAGCCAGCAAAGTGTGTTCACACAGAACCTGGATGTTCCACATGTACTGATTCACAGGTACACTGATACATTTCTTCATGAGGCCAAGGAAGATCTTTACCTGGATTCTCTTATTTAGACTTGACCTACATGTACTGACAATATCACCTGCTTTGGTACTTAGATGTGAGATCCATTCCTTTCCTGAAAACTTCAAAATATATTTCCATTCAAAATGTTCAGCTTAACACCGAAGAACAGTGAAATTTATCTTTCTTTAATGAATATTATTTAGAATGATTTTAGGTTCACAGCAAAACTGTAGGAAAAGAATATAAATATTCCATTAGTGCTCTGTAGGTTAAACTGCACATACACAAGGTTTTTTTTTTAAGTTGGAAATGAAGTGTGAACTACGACTAACTTTACAGTAGCACTATTCATCCAATTTTTTATATAAATCAAATATTTTAGTCTAGGCACCTTTTGTAGTTTCCTAACATGTTCAAAATCAAAAAACAAAGGGTAACAGAAAATTCCTTAAATATAATAAAATCCTACTTAAATTTTACTTACATAAAATGTTTTCATAAAAATGCTTTTGTCTGCACATTTTTAGTATCTATGTAAAAACACTAGAGAAAAGCAAAAGAAAAAACTCACACCAGCAATTTCAGGTTATCACTGACCATCTCCCAAATCATATGTAGATAATCTTGATGTGCACATACTGTCTGGTTCATATTTCACTGGTCATGTTTCTGCCTCTGATTAATTCGCAGTTAAAGTTTGACAGTGGCTAATGTTTGAAGCTTTGCTGTTGTCTGACCTTGAGTCCCTCTCCACCCATCCTCATTAACTTAAAGTTCCATGATCTGGGAGTCGATGTGTGTTCTCTTTTTATAATGAACTTAAGCACCTACATGGGAGCTTGGCCAGTGACAGAGCACTCCAGCTCCTGGGCCACATCCCAAACCAACCTCCTAACTGGCCTCCCTCCTTTCCTCCCTCTGCTGTTGCCTGTCCCCAATTCCCCCACCAAAGAATATTCTGAAAACAACGAAGAAACAATCCAATTAAAATGTAGTCTAGGTCGCTGCTACTTGCTCAAAAACCTTCCAGTGGCTCTCCAAGTCCTACCATGTCCTACAACATCCCGGACGTTTCCCCAGGTAGAGGCATCAGATGACTGCTCAGAGAAAGATAAAAGGTCACATTAGGGTAAAGAAGTGGAAAGGGTGGGTTAAACAGCTGACACAGAACACCCACCGGGTGTTAACCACAGGGCCCACTGTCACCTTAAGATCAGCACCCAGGTAGGAAGCATGCACACACTGCACAGAGGGATAGTCACAAGGCTTATAAACCAAACCAAGAAACAGAATCTCCCCCTTCCCTCCCATTTACGTTCCTGGAATTGTTCAGGCAAGCACTGTAACAGAGCCTTATCTTAGGACCTTAATAACAAGCCCAAGATACATCATAATTCTAATCACAGGTTTGTGTTTCTGCAATCCCAAGGTCTCCTCAATGTTACATGCTTCTAATGGATGGGGTAAGAGCCGGTGTGGGAAAGGGGCAGGAAACTCAAAGTGATTATATAATCCACAAGGAAAGCTGCTGTGCATATTACCATCCAAATGACTTCAATTTCAGAAACTGAGAGATAAGAAACATAGACTAGAAAAACCAAAAAGTTTGAAAGGTTTAGTCCCTTTTGGAGTTCCCTCTATTCCTGCTTATCATTTGCTTACCATATGTAACTATTGCATGTTTTTTTACAATCTTTCTTTCCTTCTTACTCCATGTCTAGCTGGTTAGCTGGGTGGCTGGCCCCTGACATCTCTCATTCTGTCCTCATCCTTCTTCTCTCATTCCTCCTCTCAAGCCTAGATTTCTCCTGCTATTTATTCTCTCTCCCTGCCACCTCTGCCCTCATCCTTTCTCTGCCTATCTATTGGCCATCCAGCTTTTTATCAGACCAGTCAGGTGCCTTAAGCAGGCAGCGTGAAACAAATGCAATGCATCTTTACATAATTAAACAAGGCAGCATAAACACAAGTAACACACCTTTACACAGCTAATGTAATACTCTGTAACATAAACAAATGTAACATGCCTTCACCTAGTTAAAATAATATTCCACAACACAGGGAAATGGGGATTGTCCATCACTCTTCCAAGAATATTAATCACAAGAGGATGAATTAAAAGAATCTTTATGGCAACAGAGATTCAAAGCCATTCAGAATATTCAAATGAGGCCTCATACAATTGGTCATAATATTACAAGCCGACTGACTCGAAGCTAAGTATTCTTATATAAAGAAGCTTTACTATGGACCTGGGCTGGAGGTTTTCAGGTTCTTGGCCTCTTACTGAAGGAATTGAAATAAAGGCTCACCCAGGTTGCCAAGCAGCAAAGAAACTTTAATCAAAAGTAAAGGGATAGCGAGGTTCAGAAAGAAGACTCTGTGGAGAGAGACAGCAGGAGCTGGGAGATGCCTGGTGAATAAAGTGCCTTCAGAAGAAGGCTGAGGACCAGGCTCAGATTCCAGAGCCTATGCAGAATAGCTCCCAACCCTCCAAAGGTAAAAACTCTAGAGAAAGGTAACTAGCCAGAGAGGCAGGATAGGTGAGCTCCAGGCCCAGCAAGGGAACTTGACTCAATAAATGAAATGGAGAGAGATCGAAGAAGACATGAATGTCAGCTTCAGGCCTATACCCATGTTCATACACATACACATGCATCCACACATGTGTGCCCCCACACATACACATGCCTGCATAGAAACACAAATACAAAGACATATATGCACACCATACAAAAACAAAGTGACTGTAGGTCACATAAGGGATGACACTCAGGTCTCCCATTATTGCTTGGGCTTCCTTTTATGGGGTTCAAGAGAAAGAAGAGCATCGTTGCTAAGTGATTCCCCAGGCTTGCTCGGTCATTGCAACCAGTGACTCGGGACACGATAGTTTGGGCTCAGAACTCTCTAGGAGAACATACAGATGAAAGAATTACATTTAAGACCAAGCTATAAAATCTTACGGCCTTTGTAATTCAAGCCTTAGAACAATGCTTGACAAGTAATAGACACTCAGACTTGTGGGTTGGATTACTATCATGGGTTTGTATTCTTTCTGGACTGCTCTTTGAAGCTCCTTTGACCCATCACCTGCCTGTCTTAAACACTAACTCTTTGTTGCAGCTGCACTAGGCTTATTGAAGCCCTCCCTCCCCGATTCAGTCCCGCTTCTCCAGTTTTATGTCTTTGTTAAAGAGATGAAGATGCATGTGGTAAGAACGACCCTGCTCTTTTAAGCCTGGCCAACTCTTACTTTCTTCTGGCAGCCTAACTGAAGCATCCTCTCTCCCGGAATGTCACCACTAACACACTTTGATCTGATGCTGTCCTTCCCACGATACCTTGAACACCCATGTCTGTGTGTCCTCTTCATGGTGAGCTGCTATCTTTGAAGTACTACTGGCTTATTTCTCTTTCCCATTACGCTTAATCACCATAAAGGTGATGGTAGGGGAGTGGTCTTACAGTCATCCATGTAAAGCAAGCAACGATGTTTGATGTTTCAGAAGGGATGCTCAACAAATGTCTGTTTAACAATATCAGAAATGCTTTCTGGTTTTAATTTATTCTAATAGTTTTGTGGTACTTATTTGTTTTTGATATGGTCTATTTTAGCTTAAGCTAGTCTTACTCAGCCCCTCTATCTTGCCTATGAACATGGAGATCACATTGTGAAAAGTAGAAGATAGGAAGGAAAGGAGTTTTTCCCCTTAAGACTTCCTCTCCAAATTGCTATCTACAATCATTACTCCCTGACTTCCACTTGGTTTTACTGTCTAAAACTAGGTCACACGTCTAACAGCAACTACAGAGGAAGCTAGGAAAATGAACTTTTTGGCTGATCACACTACTGACCTGTGAGAATTTCCTGCTTATTAGCTGGCTAGAGGTGAGCCATGAATAAATAAATGCTGGACTGTCAACTTACAGGTCTTTTACACAGTTCCTACCTGTAAATTTAAAGCAAAGCACTGTAAGAAAGGACCAAAGTTTTTGTGTGTTGGTGGCACATGCTTTAATCCCAGCATAAGGAGGCAGAGGCAAGCGGATCTCTGTGAGTTCAAGGCCAGTCTGGTCTACAGAGCAAGTTCCAGGACAGGCTCCAAAGCAATACAGAGAAACCCTGTCTCCAAAATATAACAAAAATAAAGGACAAGGCCTATTCTTTCCTAAACCAGCATTTAAAGGGAAATCTGATTTTGTCTAAATTTACTTCAAGTTCCACAAGGATGAGTAAAGGAAAATATGAAAACGTAATTTTCCTATGATTAAAAAAAATCAGAGAAAACTCTTCTGAGTTATCAGGTGATCACTACCATAATAAAAGCAAAAGTAATTACTAACACTGACCAAAGCATCAGTGTAACAAAAAGGCAGACTGACAAGTAGTGGGAAATGTGAATTGCCTCTGTCTGACTCAGAGACCCACCTGCTTCTCTCTCCTGAGTGCTGGAATTAAAGGAGGCATGTGTCACCACTACCCGGCTGAGAAATGGGAGCATTTTTAAAGACAGTGCTGTCCCTCTACAAATGACCCATGCTACTGTCAAAACACTTAATAAGCTCAATTATGCCTTTTCATGTTGGAAAAGTGTGTGTGTGTGTATGTATCTGTGTGTCTGTGTGCACAGGCATGTGTGGGCACCTGTGTATGCTTATATAATAGATCAGACACCACCCATGAAACCATGTATATTGTTGGTCAAATTTATTTATTTTTATTTTCTCCATTAAATTGAATAAAATGGTAAATTTAAGCTTATTTTCCACCCACTGCTTTTCCTGCCAAACCTCTTGACAAAAATTTACTGTCTTCCTGTTGGGGGACAGTGAGTGGGCAGACATAATTCCAGCCATTTAAAAAAGCAGTCATGTCATGTTTACATGTATCCACACATAATATTGGTAATTACTATGTTTGTGAATGACCTTCTTTTTCAATACTATTTTTCTAACAGTCATTCCATGCTTAGATAAACCTAGATTGTTCATTTTAACTGCAATAGAAGATGCAAATTCCATTTTCAAAGTTTCATAACTTAAAGATATCACTTTTAGAAGTATTTATATGTAATAACTTCCCCTTGTTTCTTCATCTTTTCCTAGTCTTTTGTCACTACAGATACACACACACACACACACACACACACACACACACACACACACACACATGAAAAGACAGAGACAGACAGACAGACCGACAGAGGCACAGAGAGAGCTTTTACCTTGCAGCTCTAAATTCTCCTAGTGAATGCTCTGTGCTGTGCTTTCTAGCTCCAAGTGTCCAACAGAAAATACACGGATGAGCAACCCTCTCTCTTGAGTTATGTAACTTACGTATAACCGAGGAAATGTTTGCAACTACAGCTGTATTTGAGATTTCACAAGGGTGAAAACAGCACCTTGGAAACAGGACTCACAGTTGGGTGTGGGAGTCGCTGCTGACTTACCATGGTGGCTCTGTTGACAATGCTTTTCAGATGTATGATTTGGAAAGAAGAGGAAAAAGAGGTGTGAGCACACTCGTTCCTCAGAAAGTGGACACTCAGAAAGGTTTGCTTCAGAGCTGAAGATGATGAATTTTCCCTGTCCTTTGTTCCTGTCTCTCGTGTCTGGATTAGATTTATGCATTTTCCTTTTATACATGTATTCTCTCCCCCACACACAATGTGTACTACAAAGTCAGAATACAAGCCAGAATATTCATAACTATATTTTATGACTGAGATTATATTTGCCCCACATGTTGTGGCAAACCTGTTAGTCCTTCCCCATTTATGTTTCAAACCAAATATCAATCAAATCAAAATAATTAAGTGCATTGAAATAAAAGAAGCTCATGCTAATTTTCTTTGGCTCCTCTCAAAAACATTAACAATTTGTTTACAGCTACCCACAGAATGATGATTCATTCATGTGACTCTATGTATAACAGGGATTTATGCTGCATTCATGTCAGCAAAGCTGAGCTATGTGCACCCTTCAGTGACACAAAAGAATCCTGACGTGATTCTTGTCCTCGGGGAGTTACATCACACTAGGTAAAATGCACAAGCAAGAATACAAACATCATTGATTGGGACATAGATACATGAATGATAAAGAATGGGGATTGCAACCTGGGAGGAAAAACAAGCAGCTCAGAGGTAAACTGGAGTTCCCCAACTGTAACTTACCAGGAAGGAGCCACCATGAAACAGGACTATTGGCTCAGAAGTCAATAGTCCAGCCTTCTTCACTGAATAGCATCATGCCAGTCACACACTATGAAAATGTGCCAGTACACTACACAACCTTGTGAATATTAAAACTTCTCAGTCTTTGCTCCACTCCCCAAGAAAGGTAAGAAATCATTCGCAGCATTCTTATAGGAAAAATAAAGAAAGAAGCATGAGAAAATATTGATAAAAAACACATAGGCACCAAAAATGCTAATGCTTTTATCCAGAAAGGAATTTAAAAACATACATCACAGAGTATTTAAAGTTTGTGCATTATAATAGGAAGGTAACTATTCCCTGGGGAATGAAAAAGGAGAACTGGGCTTACTCTTACCTCCTTCTTTTGTTGTCTACTATTCCACAGCTTACAGCTCTCCCTCCCTCATTGTGTGGGAGTCAGCTCACCTTAAAAACGGTCATTCCCAAACTTGGTATGTACTCACTCATACATGGATTTTAGACATGAAACGGGATTACCAGTCTACAATTCTGCTGCCAGAGAGTCTTGGAAACCGGGAGGATCCTAAGACAGATATGCAAGACACCCCGGAGAAGGGGAATGGGACAGGATCTCCTGAGGGGATTGGGAGCATGGGGAGGAAGAGGGGGAGAGGGATCTGGGAGAAAGAGAGGGAGAGAAGTGGAGGGGAGAGGAGGACTTGGGGAAGCAGAAAGGTTGAGGCCGGGGAAGAATAGAGAATAGGATGAGAGTTACTATAAAAGAGGGAGCCATTATAGGTCTGAGGAGAGATCTGAAACTAGTGAGATTTCCAGAGATCTACAAGGATGACACCAACAGGCATCAAGGCTACCTTAAATGCCCTCCCCCATAATGAGATTTTTGACTACCTTGTATAGCATCCTAGAGCATTCATCCAGTGGCTGATAGAAGCAGAGGCAGACACCCACAGCTAAACACTGAACTGAACTCCTGGAACCCAGTTGCAAAGAGAGAGGAGTGATGAGCAAAGTAGTCAAGATCGAGCTGGTGAAACCCACAGAAGCAGCTTACCTGAACAAGGAGGAGCTCATGGACCCCAGACTGATGGCTGAATGGCTAGCATGGGACTTTTCCAGACCCCCTGAATGTGGGTGTCAGTGAGGAGGCCTTGGCAATCTATGGGGCCTCAGATAGATCAGTATTTATCCCTGGTATACAAATGGACTTTGGGAGCCCATTCCACATAGAGGGATGTTCTCTCAGCCTGGACTCATAGAGGAGGGCCTAGGCCCTGCCCTGGATGATAGGACAAACTTTGAAGATTCCCCCATGGAGGGTCTTACCCTCCCTGGGAAGCAGAAAAGGGATGGGGTGGGGGTTGGGGGCAGGGGAGGAGGTGAGGGAGAGGGAGCTGGGATTGACATGTGAAGCTAGTTTGTTTCTAATATACATTTAAAAAAACTGTATTTCCCCTTGACACATGGAACTTTTCCTAGGACAATGGAGCAGAGTTGCTGAATACTCAAACTCAGCTCCTGGAAGCTAACCAGTGTTTTCTCAATGAGGAAGACTTAGCAACTAACTTTTGTGAAACTGTGAGATATTTATTATTTCATATCTTCCTGCTGTGTTGGATCCTTTCCTGGGCATAGCGGGAGAGTTAGGTATAAATTAAATGTTATGTTCAATTTCCAAGTTCCCTGAGAACTTAAGGAATATATCCAGACACAGAGATAATAAAACACAGTCAAAGGTGACAATGATCAAAAAAGTGAGGTACCTGTCTTCCATTTAGATCCAGGATCACACCCTCAGGCATCTCCTTTACAGTACAAAACCAGAAACTTTCTGAGCCCATAACAATGACCAGACCTTCTACAGAAAGCTTCAGATTAAATGGATGTCAATAATCAGTGTGCCATATTTTGTGTGCTAGTTTTTCCCTAACCCTCAGTCTACATTAGCTCTGTGACATGTACAGAGAAAACGTGTGACTAAATCAGGTATGGTTGTACAGACAAAACCCATACTACAGGATAATGGGTCTGAGGTTTATAGATTATGAATAATGTATCTTTCTCAGAACCTTGCTTTCAAGATAACAAACAAAAAGGAGGAGGAAGGGGAAGAAGAGGAGGGAGAGAAGAGGAGAAGGAGGGAAAAAGGAGGACCATGAAAGGCCATGCTCATATGCAGCATGACAGCTGCTCCCAGTGGATCCCCAGGACAAGACCATTAAGAAGTTCATTGTGCACAACAATGGAAGCCATGGCCATCAGGAGCATATCTGAAGCAAGTGACTTTGACACCTGTGCATTCAGCCTTACATGAAGCCGAACTGCCATGTCGGTTGCACAGTTCACAGCAAGTTGGTCAGGAAATCATCTGTGAAGCCCAGAGGACAAAAGCCACCAAGATTTATTCTAAATTTGACAAACCCACAGAAGCTCATGCAAGGACCACAGTCCTTATTCACCAGCAAAACATTATCTTTTATTTTACCTTTTACTGTTTAAAAAGATGGCAAGATTATTTAAAGTTTTAGACCATGTTCTTTATTTTGTGTGATGGGATGTGAGTTTGTGTGGTGTGTATGTGTGTGTGTGTGTGTGCGTGTGTGTGTGTGTGTGTGTGTGTGTGTGTGTGTGTGTGTGTGTGTGTGTGTAGAAGTCAAGGATAAGTTGCAGACTTTGGCTTTCTCCTTCCAACAAGTAGGTCTTAGGTTTGAACTTACATCTTCAGGCTTAGAAGCAACCAACTTTACTCACTGAGTCATCTCTTTGGCCAGTCAAGGATTATTTAAATCTCACACGTCTTTAAGTACTATCTCATGAGGCTTTCCTTGGCCTATTTACAAAAATGTTGATGAGTTATCACTCAGCTACTGGTACAGAATGGAATGGCTGGAAGTCTGGGCAATGTGTTGTATGATCAGAGTGTGCACATAGCCCTTGAGAGAATGATGTGTGAAACTGTTGATAACATCTACCAATGGAAGTCTTGGGCAAAACTTTGGACCAACCTACTAGGCAATCATGAGGGTAGATATGAGGGTACAGGCACTTTGGAGCTCATATCACTTTACTGTTTTGGAATAAGAATGCCTGCTCTGGGCTATTGTATCTTAATGATGTGTGACTTCACAAAACAATCAGGGACTTTGCTGCAATGCTGTGTCTCCTAGGAATGTCAGAATCCACATACCAAAATGACTGCCTAAATATGGGCAGAACAAGGACAAAAGCAGCAGATGTACCAAAGCGGATGGAGCAAAAATCATGGGGCCTCAGCCCTACACAAGGGACTACAGGCAACAAAAGAATGCCTAGAGTGGGAGAAATAGTCTTCCCCAGGGAGGAGGACAGCAATTGGTTATCCAATGGCGAATGCTCAGTCCTGAAAAGATGCATACATGTACATTATGTATACAAACTGAGCAGGTTATAACAATAATTAATGAAAGAAGAGGTTATGAACTTATATGAGATTATTTGGAAGAAAAGCAAGGGATAAATCATATTTTAAACTCAGAAGTAAAAGAAATAAACTAAAAGCATTCACAAGGTCTTACAACTGAGAGTTGGTGCTGTCTCGGGTGAAACTTGGATTTTGAACATGCTGGAGTTGTGGAGACCTTGAGGACCCTTGCATATGGGATGCATATAGTTTGTATTCTCAAGAGGGAGTGAGTCTTTGGAGATCAGAAGAAAGGGGTGTATCTGAGATCTGAAATGACTGCCAATGATTTATGCAGTGAAGGATTAGACTAGTCAAATGAAGTGAGGCAGGGAAGACAAGCCTTTGAAGGATATGATCTCCTTCCTCTCCCCCTTTCCCCTCCCCCTCCCTCCCTCAACTGTTCTGAGATAAGCAGATTTACCCAGGCACATATCATGATGTTCCACCTCACCATGGCCCAGAAATAATAGAGAAATCTCTGACACTATACATCAAAATTCCAGTTGATTTTCCTACATGTTCTATCTCAGTAGTGAAGAGGCCTTCCAGACCTTTATCAAGGTGGGAATACAGAGCAGAGGAAGTATGTTCACCTCATAGCATCCAGAAAGCAAAAACACACAGAGAGGCTAGGGTCTCAATATGCCCTTCAAATGCACGCTCCCAGTTCTTTGCCTTTCTTCCACAAGGCTCCAAAATCCAAATTCTCCACCACCAACTGATAGGGCCATGGGCTGTCAATCAAGCCCTCA